GTTTATAAAAGTAGTTAAGTTAAAATGACTGTGGAAATTCTGTGTATTGCAAAGTTGTATCGAGAAAGAATAAACTAGTTTTAATTAAGAAATGGCTTGTATTGCTGAAGTTTCTCGGAAAGAATTTTTACGGGAAATTAACGAACAAGCAGATACGTAACACTTTGTTTGTTTGCCACGTTGGGCTATCTGCTGTATCCATTGCGAAGAATCGAATTCCGGATTTTAGCGTTTTAAGTCCGAAACTTACCGCTGTCCCTTTCGGGATTATATGACAAATAATATGTTCAAGATTTCATACGATCATTGAAACCACATATCTATCCAATTTTGTTTATTTCTACATGTAGAAACTGAAATATAGTGGATATTAATTTATCATTTTTTTCTTATAAAATAATGATTCGTAAATTTGGTAACAGAAATCGCAACTTACTAACATAATTAATTTGTATAATAGGTTAAAATATAAAATTTGATAATGTTACTGTTTCACGATTGCGTTGGCATTGCAGTGAATCATATGCTGTTGTGAAAGTTTCGCCTGACGATGACTCGGTGTTTTAAATCTGCGCAGTAGATATATTAATAAGTGTCACAGAAATTTATTGTAGTAATTAGTGCATTCAATTCAAACGAAAGTCATTGCTAACTTTACGGAGGTGTATCTTAATGGTTTAAGTTTCATTAGAGGTGATAATCTGTTATAATGTTTTCAACAGGACCAAATTACTCAAAATTGAAAACAAATCTACGTCTTGCAATAAATCGTTTAAAGTTACTCGAGAAGAAGAAGACGGAACTAGCTCAGAAAGCACGGAAAGAGATTGCTGATTATATATCCAGTGGAAAATATGAAAGGGCGAAAATTCGTGTCGAACATATTATTCGAGAAGACTACCTAGTTGAAGCTATGGAAGTGGTAGAAATGTATTGCGACTTGCTTTTAGCTAGATTCGGACTAATACAACAGATGAAGTAAGATAAATCGTAAACTATTAGAAATATAATAGTAATAAAGAATTAAATAATGCCTAGGTGTGTGCTTGAAAACAGTGAAATAAAACTAATAAGCCTTATAATATTTTTATTAATCGATAATCATATTAAGTTGCATTCCTAACTTTACCTTACTATAATTTATAAACATAATAAAGTATAAAACTACCATGATATATTTGACCAGCACTTTATTATTAGTTTATACTAGTAATAGTAGTACATATATAGTAGTAGTAGTAGTGAACTTAGCTTTCACTTTCAGACAACAGTTGTTTAAGTTTAAAGATTAACCTTAAAGTGGTGTCCAAACATAACTGCTACAGAGCCTGCAAGTTTTGTGCTTTTTATCGCAAATTTTAGGCCTAATGCATTCTAATCTTTATAAATTACAGGTAAGAATGTAAGAACAGTATATTTAATTAGATATTCATTACCAATACCAGGTTGAGTTTTAGTTTTGATCAAAGTAAGTATATCATGCAGCTTGCTTTGAATTTGATTGGGAGTTGGTATTGTTACTGATTGTCATGAACGAAAAAGACTACAAAAAAAAACAAACATAGTTAACAATTACACTTTACACAGATACACTGTCAAAAGCTGTAGATGCTTTAAATACCCATTTTAGATTTAAAATTAGAGGCAAGTAAAAAGATAGCATTTGAGATCTAACTTTTGTCCCCTACCAGTCAGTGCCCAAAAGACATTTTGTCCAATACCAGTATTTGTTTGGTAGGTCAAACAAAAGATTCTTTGGAATGCTATTTATCATTTTATGTATATACCATATATTATTTTAAGAGTTATGGTTGAAGTTTTACTTTTAGGACTGTTGATTTATAAATGCTTCGCCAGCTTTCAGCATTGAAACTGCAATTTTTAAGATGCAGTGTTTCTCCAGTTGTGTACTCTCACTGTTTGCATTATTTTTTGGTTGTAATTTCAACACCTCTTGAGGTTCAGCCAGCTTAGTAAATACAGGTTAATCTTAAATCAGTATGTTAAGATAACAATGTAGTATGACAATAGGTAGGCACATAATTTATAAGCATAAGGAAGAATGTTATTGATGGTAGAACATAATATATATTTTGACACATTGGTCTGTTTTTTTTCAAGTATGATGAGTACTAAGCAATAAAAGCAAGGGTGGCAAGAGCCAGCCAGGCCCCGGGGTCAGTAATATCATCGGGCCCTCCTTTCATTCTGTTTATTAACTCTTTCTGAATTTTCATAAAAGAAATTTAGGTGACAAATTTCTTTATAAATCCATGAAAAAGCAGTAGCCCTTTTAGCTCACTAAGTAGTATGCATTTCTAGTGAGCTTTGGAATACCTTACTGCTGAACCCCTCAACAGACTTTAGGACAGCTGCCCCCCCCTCCCCCCTCATCAGCCCTGAGTACACCTGATGTTGCTAGGGCCATTATCCATCATTAAACCATGATAATGGCCCTAGCAATATCGGCCATATTTGGCAAGGTCTATTCACTGTTCATACACTTGACCAGACTTGACCTTTACCTATATCCTGTCACCTTCTGATACCATTTCTGTCACATTTAATCCCTGTATCTTTTGTCTTTGTATTGATATATAAACATTGTATTACTTAGTACTGTTTGTATCTGAATAAGACAGACCGATGTTGTGTCAAATCATATGTTCCACCATCAATAAAATTCTTCCTTGTGCTTATAAGTCATTGTTTGCCTAATTAGTATTATATTAGCATAATGTGTATTTTTACTCAAGTAAAAATGCAGTAATATGAAAATACAACAATAAGTTAATTGCAATGAAGATAGATATATTAAATATTCTAACCAATACTATTAATAAAAGAAACATTAAAGAAAGAATAGGTTTGGTACCAATTCTAAAAATGATTGTTAGCATCCAGCTTAATATAATTTATTATATTTCTCATCAGGGTTTTGAACTAGGCACTTGCTAGCATCTAGATCTCAGATGTGACCAAACATTATTTGAAGTATATAAAAAAAAAAAAATATTTACATACATAAGTCAGAAATGTTCTATAAGAAATTGATTCTTGAAATGTGATTTGAAAGTAATATAGCTAGTACTAAATGTCACCAAATATTTTGAGTCATCTAATCCTTTCACAAATTAAATGTATATTATACACAGACAACAATGAAGTAAAATGTAATTCATGCTGTCCTGACAGTACTTTCCAGAAAAGTGAATTCCAACAAGATCAATACATCTTAAGCATGTGGACTGTGTGTAAGGATCCCATCTGTCATTCACTGACTGTCTTCCCACCTTTTTTCTTTTATCCTTGTAATGATAGATCTAATGTTATCATTCTAAACCTCTTTCCAGAACCACTTAGTCATCAGTGTCCTGTAAAAACATTTCTGTGACTTCAATTTGTCCCAGTCCAAGTTGACATTGTTGATTTTTTTTAACATACTTGACAGCCATCCTTAATTATGGTAATTTACACACATTGCATAAGAATTTCTTCATCATGTTTTGTGAAAATATTTGAGGAAAATCCTACATGTTTCACAAAGAAAGTTCCAATAAAGAGACTGACTTTCAGTCTCTGCTTTCTTGATCAGTTTGTATTTTTACTTCATCAGTGCTGACAATTTCATATGCATTAAATTACATGTGGGGACACAACATTTGAAGGAGAAGCTACGTGAAGACTTAATCAACCACCTTGAAGAAACTGTTTTAGCAGGATGTTGTTGCTAGTGGTAGGACAAAAGGGATTTCAGGTTGTATCTACTGATATATTGAATATAAGCCTTAAGAGGTTCAATTTCACTGTATAGGTCACTGGTTAAACCTCATTTGTAGTATTGTGTTCAGTGTTGACTCCTTACCTTAGGAAGGATATTGAATTGTTTGAACTGGCTCAAAAGAGAACTACTATGATATTACATGGGATGGAAGGTTGTCATATGATGACAGGTTATGTTCTCTTGACATTTTTTTTCTTGAAAGAAAAAGAATAAGAGAGGATCTGATTGAAGTGTTTAAGAGTGTTAAAGGAATTGATAGTGTTGATGCATCATTTTTTGTTTTTTTTTATTTAATGGTGAGAATGATAGGGCTGTGGAACACAAATAAATTTTGCAGGGTAGGAATCATCATCAAATAAGAAATTTTTAATTTTGTAATAAGATGGTTGGCCTTTGGAATGGGTTGCCTTCAGATATGGTGATTGAAGTAAATGTAAGGGGAAGGCTTGATAAATATTTACATGATAAGGGTTGGACTTGAGTATTTTAGTTTAAGTGTAGTGGATGGGACAGCCTATATGGATCAACAGGGCCCTTGTTGTCCAAAAATTTTTAGTTATGATGTCTGTTATCTTTCTTACTGCCACATTCATAGGTAAACAATTTTTCAAGTGCAAAATGCCAGGTTTATTTCTAGTCATGCACACACACACACACATAGACATTTTTATTATTTCCTTATTTATCTGAAACTTGGAATTGGTAAACTTTAGGAAGTTTGAAGGGGGAATACTCTTCCTTTATGGCAGTACAACTTTCAACTTGTGTAATTAATATTGTACTTTCAGAGCCTGAAACAAAGATTATGAAGTGTCAGTATGTCCTATATATGTACCCTTAGCAATGATCTAGAAGGAGTTGTATGCCCATGGCAGTGAACTAGTAGAAAAGTAGTGTGACAGTAGTAGTGCTAGTAAAGTTCAATCGGGAAATATTAATTAACTGAATGTGATAGTTCAGGTGGGATTAATATAATTGTGATTTTTATATAAACCTTTTTTAGTGTCCTGGTTGACTTTTTTCATATTTATGATCAAGAAGAATGATGTATTGCTCTT